TTGGTGTCTTCTTTCCCCTCACTCGTGAGAGGCCCGCGGTAACTGCGTGAATGTTACAAAAAGTGGTAAAGAGGTTTGCTCTCCTCTGATCATCTGAGACTTAACTAAACTTCTGCCTTGGGCAGGGGGTTGGACTATAAGACCTCCAAGGTCCCCTCCAACCCTATGATTCCAAGATTTTTCAGTCGTAGTCTGGGTTTGGCCAGACCAGCTAGTTCCTTTAGGATGCGACTCATCTGGCCCTGGAGATTTAGATTATTCAAACTAAAAAGGATTCCCAACCATGTTTCTATTAATCTCAGGCTTCTTCCTGCCTGCCTGCCTTTTAACATTATAACATTATAACATTACTTGGTGAAACATATTTTTTGTTGGAGGGGACTGAACCAAAAGAGGAATTGCCCTTTGTTACCTATTAGTATTTTACCTTCTTCACAGAGCAGCTGATATACTGATTCTTTTCTCTCCCTTTTATTATGAACAGTTCTCTTTCTTATTCTTAGCTTCCTTTTTGTTGAACTTTTGATTTCCTGACACCAGCTACTATAGGCAGTTTTGAGCAGCTGTCCATTTCCTGTATCGGTTCATTTTTGTTTTCAGATCTTCACTAAGCTTTTTCTGTAGCCTCCCTGGCTTCTTTAGCTCCCCACTGGAACTATCTGTAACCCATGTTGGGTTCCTTTTTCCATGAGCTTCTCCTGCCATTGGATCATTCACATCTGGGTCTTTTTTAAAATCCAAAATACTTTTCTGACTATGCTCAGTTTTAGTGTTCCTTATACTCAAGCATTTAACATGGACACTTTACACAGCAAGGTAAATACAAACACCTCGAGTTTGGTTTTTAAAGTTTACACCAATAGGTATTGCAAATCAGTTGGAGTGCAAAAAAGGGGAAAGTCAGAAATTAAACACTTATCTATATTATTTTTAGGGGTGCTTTTCTTCTCTTTTTAAAACATGTATAAATAAAATATAGTGGAAATTTTGGCATTAAGCTCAAAAATTTATATTTCTTTTTTATATAATGAAAGCAACTCAGTGTATGTTGGTTGGTATGGTTTATCTTTACTGGTATATTGAGCATTAATTGTAAACTTCAGTAATTATCTTTCTATTTATTGATATTATCTTTTTTGAAAGCACACCTTTGTTTTAAATAAAAATTTAAAAATATGTTTTCTATATTGATTAGTGCAAGTTGAGGATAAATGATCCTACTGTGGCTTTCTCCATCCTCTGAAGGAGAATGAACGGAGGGGAAACAAAGGTGGGCAGCAGCTTATATTCTCCCCCAGCACAGCACATTAATATTTAACTTGCAGTTAAGAGTGCAGCCTCCATTCACTAAAGGACTCAGGGAATTTTCCCCAGCTCATAGAATTCCAGCTTAATCTTCTCTATTTATTCAAATTGATCAACTTCACTACAGCTCAATATTATCTGATCTGTGTCTAGTCTTAATAATGCCCACAATCATTCTTAACCACTGAAAAAGTGAAAAGAGCAGTTCAAATTTTTAATATCTACATTGATCAGAAAAATATGCTAATAATTAGCACATAATGCATGTTCTTTACCAATTTTGGTATAACTGTGATATATGCTTCATTAAATGAAGATAAAATACAATTTTTAAAAATCTGATTGTAAAGCTGATAGAGTTTAGAAGCAACTACTTCAATAAATGTTTTATACCATTCCAGAGGAACCATCCAGGCCTGGAGTTTTACCATTAGTCAAAATAATTTTTTTTATCTAATTCATAGTCAAAACACCAAGTAATAATTGCTATGAGGAATCTAATTGTGGAAGTTCAATTTTAGCAAAACCCCCTCTATTATCTTCTTCAGGTAAATTATCCAGCTTACTATATCAGTTGGAATAAAATTTGAAAATTGAAACTTAATGTCTTGCAGAGAACTATACATCTTATCCTTTCCATGTTTAATGGCTATAAAGTATTTTTCCATCCCTTTCTCATTTTTAGTAGTTTACCAAGATCCTGTCAGGACTTTTAACCATTTCCCCAATATTTGTATATCCAATATTTGGATGTAAACATGTTAACATAAATTCAGTTCGCTCTGATAAGATGTTCAAACACATATTTAGTTTACTGTATACACTGATAGTAGGACATCTGGCCATCAGTGTCCAAGGAGTCTTCAATTTATCTTTCAAATTAGTTTCATGTATATTTTAAGTGGTTAAAAGTAGAAGAAAACAGTTTCAAGGAAATATCAGGAAGAATTTTCTGACTGTACAAGCTGCCAGCCAGCGGAACAGGCTGCCACATGAAGTGGTGAGTTGCCTTCATTGGAGACCTTCAAGCAGAGGCTGTATAGATAGGTTGCAGAGGCTCTAACAGACCCTGCATTAAGCAAGGGGTTCGGCTAGATGACCTCTAAGATCCTTTCTCACTCAGTCTATCATGCCAAGAGGGCGTGCAGCTGGATGGCTCCATGTCACTTTGAGCTGGCAGCGGTGAACTGTGTCTCTTAGTTCTGGTCGAAGCCCTCTTTGCAGAGGCTGGGGGTGGGGGGAGGGAGCCACATGAAAGCCACAGTGCCAAGGGTGCTGCTGAGGTGAGCTGCTCTTGGATGGGGTTGCACTTCTCCTCTGGGACTGGGTTGCAACTTGGCGGTCCTGGACTCGCAGCTACTACGGGATGAGCAGGTGGCAGCTGCAGCCAGGAGGACCTCTGCACAGGTTCATCGTGTGTACCAGTTGTGCCCTTTCCTCAGCCAGGAGGCCCTTCAGATGGTCACTCATGCACTAGTCATTTCACAACTGGACATTGCAATGCACTTTACATGGGGCTGCCTTTGAAGACCATCCAGAAGCTACAACATTGAAAATGTAGTAGTGCAAGTGGTAGCAGGTGCTTCTTTTTATTTATTTATATATATATATATAAATTTGTGACTCTGGGTGGCATACAACAATTGAATAAAATAACAAATAGATAAAAACAATCATTATAAAAGATAAAAACTGATTATTAAAATGCAACATTATCAAAAGATTTGAAATTTTTAAATTTTAAAGTATACAAACCCACAGAGAGAGCAGGATTATCAATCATAGTGGAGCCATCTAAGAATGTCTCTGGTTCCCAAAGACCCCCCCAGAACTGATGACACAACCAGGTCTTGAGGGACTTCCTAAATGATAGCAGGGAAGGGGCGAGCCTCACTTCAGGGGGGGAGAATATTCCACAAGGAGGGAGCCACAGCAGAGAAGGTCCCCCTCCTGGGACCCACCAAATGCAAGTCCCTGGCCATTGGAACATGTAGCATACCTTCCCTGCCAATCTAATGGAATGGGCTGATGTAATCAGGGAGGGGCAGTCCCTCAGATAACCCGGCCCCAGGCCATGAAGGGCTTTAAAGGTCAAAAGCAGCACCTTGAATTGGACCCAGAAGCAAACTGGCAGCCAAGGCAGCTTGTGAAGCAGAGGATATATGCTCTTCTAGGACCACACATAACTGCCCGCACCGCCATATCCTGCACCGGTTGAAACCTCTGGATACTCTTCAGGGGCAACCCCAAGTAGAGCACATTACAGTAGTTCAATGGAGATGACTAGGGCATGAGTGACTGCAAGCAGAGCCTCCCGATCCAGGAAGGGGCACAACTGGCACACAACACAAAGCTGTGCGAAGGGCCTCCTTGCCACGACTGCCACGTGATCTTCAAGCAAGAGTTGCAAGTCTAGTAATTATGCATCGGGCCATTGCTACTATGTGAGCTACTTTGGTTGCCAGTCGGTTTCCAGGTGCAATTGAAGGTGCTGGGGGTCACCTGTAAAGCCCTTCATGGCATAGGCCTGGTATTCTGTGGGACCCGCTATCTCCATTTCTGCCCACCTGGCACATTTGGGCAGAGTGGGTCCACTCCAGATCCCCGCCATTAAACACTGTCATCTTGTGGGACTGAGGAAGCATGTCTTCTCTGTCGCTGCCCCTGCCCTCTGGAACAGCATTCCCCCCCACCGAGATACATACTGGGCCCCCTCTTCTGGGGTTCTGGACGGCCCTCAAGACCTGGCTTGGTTCCCAGGCCTGGGGTTAATAAGCTGTAGAGGCCCTGTCATGTTTTTGCTGATTCTTTGGTTCTTTTTATGGTTCTTATGGTTCTTTTTTAGCCTGGGTGGTTATATTATTATTGTACTAAATTTTTAAAATTGTTTTAATTCTGCAGTCCGATGTTGTAAGCTATCCAGAGTCTTTTGGAATGGGTGGCCATAATAAATTCGAATAATAGAGATGATGATGATGATGATGATGATGATGATGATGATGATGATGATGGTTATATTATTGTTTTTGCATGACCTTACTTCTTTTGTTATACATAGCATCATCTCTTCATGACCTCATGTTGGAGCGTTCTTAGCAGGGAGAAGGAAATCCTCATTTAATTTGTGCCTGGACATGGTAGGCTGGTATAACTACTGCTGTGGACCTGCCTGGCAGAGAATTGGGGTATGTGTGTGTGTGTGTGTATGGGGGGAGATCTTGTAGGGATATTTGTGTGTGTGTGTGTGTGTGTGTGTGTGTGTGTGTGTGTGTGTGTATGCATGTGTTCCCTAGTCAGAATAGATGACAGGATAGCTGCGGACTGGGGGGAGTTGCTGAGGTTATTAGTGATATTCCTCACTGAGGCTGGCAGTCACTCATGCAGTTCTTGGAGATACTCTTGTGTAGGTTTCAGCCCTTGTGAGTCAGCTGTTACCTGCTTCTGATTCTCATTTACCTTTGGGAGCACATGGGAACGTCTGAGATTGTTTCAGTTGTTTAGGTGGTCCACTGAGGGTCCACCCCATCGCTTTCACAGCTGCTTGTAAATACCGCAGGAAGCACACAAGCAGAGGGAAGGGATGGCTTGTTTGCTTCCCTGCAGCCTATGGGCATGGGGAGGCAGGTTCAGCTGCTGCTAGGACTCTACCACTTGTGGTTGCTTCTGCAACCATCAGTTGCAAAAAGGTGGCTGGGACAATCCCAGCTGGTTTTTCATTGGAGGGCTGTCACAGAGAAGAGGGTGTGGATTTGTTCTGCCCAGTGCCTGAGAGTAGAACAAGAACCAACACTTGGAAGGTTTATACTGTAGATAAAGATCCAAACTTGAAATAAGGAGAAATTTCCCGACTGTGAGAGCTTTTAGGCAGTGGAACACACTGTTTCCTGGAATCATGCGTGCTGCATCACTAGAGGTTTTCAAACAAAAGTTGAAGACCCATTTGTGTGTGATGCTCTGAGGATTTGTACCCTGGGCAGGGGTTGCACCAGACACCTCCAAATTTCTTCCAACTCTCTGATCCTAGGATTGGGTTTAGGATACTTGATCAGGTGGGGTTAGTTTAACTCTGTACATGATTGGATTTGGGGTTCAATTTAATCTTTGCAATTATTTGACTGAATCTGTTAATCCCATTTTTGGTGTTCCTACAACATGCTTAACCCTCCTCCCCCATTGACCCAGTTAGGTACGTCACAGGAGCAAAACTTGCATGTGCATGTAGTGGTCCTTTCTTCTGTATACATTCAGGCTGAGACCCTGCGAGGTAACAGCGCTCCTGAGAGTCGGACAGCAAAATGGCAATGACTGTATCTGTAGATCTGATTGAACCCTTCCTCCGTTGTCCTCTGTGAGATGTTCTGCTCTCAGTTGTTGGAATAAAGTTTAGCATCCTGAAGCAGGGAATTCTTACCAGACATAGGCAAAATCATAAAATCAAAACACAGGAAAAATGCTTGGAAATCATTTAGACCAATATTGCAGAATGCAGAAACTGCAGTGAAGGGTGTGGCTGCAACATATCATGCAGGCAGCTGTTCAGTTTCCAATTTACTGTATATGAACATTCTGACTGTTGTGTGTAAAGCTCTTGTTTGCACCACACACTTGCTTGCCACATTTCCTTTTAAAGTTGTTCTCTGTTCTCAGCATGCATGGAATTGCCCATCTTTCTCCAATACGCAGAACCATGTGTTTTAATCATATTGTGTAGGGGTTCTACATTGCTGGTACTTTAACTGAATGCTGTTTTGCACCATATCCTATACTCTGCTCTTGTGAAGGGGGCAGTATCATCACAGGGCACTGGGAGTGGAATGGGGTAAAAAGCTGCTCTCTCAACATAAATATGGTGTCAGTTGTGTTTCTCCCATCCTGCTCACTATTCCATTTTTCCAAATTCTTCAATGACATGGTACCTGTTGTAGCAAATGCTTTGGGATGTCAAAATATCTAAGCAGTTGCATGCTATTTCTCTCACGGAAGTGGTGAATTAGCATGGTGAGACCTGCTGGGAGAAGTTAGATGTTTACATTTTTGCAAACAGACAAAGGAGATATAAAATGTACCTAGAAAACATCACCAATGTAGTAAATGATTTGGGCTTTGAAGCAGTTATGAAGACCTCAATATTATCACATAGACAATTACATAGACAGAGCAGAAGCCTTTCCCCACCAAAAAAAATCCTATTCCAGAAAATAACAATCCTTGAAATTCATATAAAGAATAACAGTATATTTGCATATTTATTTAAATGTTATAACGACATGAATTCTTCAGTAGCTTCTCTTTCTCAGACACAATAATTTTTCCGAATGCCTATTTTGTACTGCGATTTCTAATATGATCCATGATCTGCGTCTTTCTTCTTTTGTCTGGTGATTGCCTTTGGGGAGGGGGCTAAAGGCAGGCAGGCGGGTGGAAAGCCTCTGGGAAATCTCTTGCTCCCATTCCCACCCATGTTTTTTCAGAAAAAAGCAGGCAAGGAAACCTCATGCTGCTGAATCTTGGGGTGCTGGGAGGCAAATGTGGAACATGAGCTAGGTACTTTCCCTGTCCTTTCACATATTAAATTCTCTCTCTCATTGGTGAGCCCCAGCTGTATGTGCAGAACTGTAGTTCAAATATATAGAGAAACATGTGGGGTCCATATGCGCTGGTTTACAGTCTTCAAAAGCAAGAATTACAAAGATGGAAGATCAGCTCCAGTGTTCCCTTAACAGAGCATTAGTTGAGATCTTCTTTTGTAGTCTCTGTGAGATATACAAAGAAAATAAGACACAATAGCCTGAGACTTTGCAGGACCATACCCCCCAAAAGACATTTATTATCATGTCTGTGATAGCTTTGGGTCTTAACAGGCAATCAGAAAGTATGCACACACTCGCTGTTTTAATTGGAACTGTTCCTTTGCACCAAGCAGATATGCACAAGAATAGCTAAAGATGAACTCTTGGCATCCTTGTTCCTCATTCATCCGGAGGCCCTCCCAGCTGCAAATACTTCTACAAACACAAATCATTATCCCAAGATCTGTGCAGAGCAGCAGCATCCAAAAGAAAAACTGTCCTGAGGTTCATGCAGGGTTAATCATTTCCAAAAGCATTCCTTTTCTATGGGGTTTCACCCGCCAACATTTATAACAGTGATTTAAAACATAAGAAGGAAAATGGGAGTGGGAAGTCTTTTAATATAGTAGGTGTGCAAAGATGACATTGCATCCTATCCACATTTCTCATTATACAGGAAGAAAAGCTTCTGAGCAAGCCAATGATTAGAAAGATATCAATGGATACTGCTTAACTAGCCAACGGCATTTTTCAATTGCTGTAAATTCAATCCCTCTTGCGCTTTCTAGAATGGGCCCAAGAATAACTGCATCTCTTCCTTACCTGCACTGCAAGGAGCATTATATTCAGTAATCAAATTGTCTTCTATGTGCGTGTGAAAGAAAGAGAAAATAATAGATGAGATGAAGCCCAAAAGCACCCTCTCCAAACCCTCCTGCAGGGGGTTGTAGCTCTGCAATACCTGGGGGGTCACAGATTCTCCAGTTTTGCTGTGGGATAGTCTCAGAAACTGCAGATACTAGCTATAATTAAGTCTGCTTTAATTTGGATCCCTGCACTGAGCAGAGGTTGAACTCAATTGTCAAAATGGCCCTTCCGAGTCTTTGATTCTATCTTACATTTCATTCCTCCCAGATTTCTCAATGATACCATGGAAAGGATTAGCTGGACCATCAGCAAGTTCCTTCCTTTCCCAAAAATGTATTTCTTCAGGCTGTGGGGACCAAAACTCATTCAGAACAAACAGATATTCCTGATTAGGTTTCTATCAGTCTCAAGCTTTTGTCCTGTCTCTTGGTTTTGTTTATCACAGCTGCCTAGTGAACCTATGACAAGATAAGATAACATAGGAATTGCCCAACTCGACTGTTTATGACTCTTTGAATGTTGCTGTCTTAACAGACCAGCTGATGAATGTTGCTTTTCTTTTCATTTTAAAGCCCTTTTCATTTTTCTTAATAGCCTTCAGCAACTCAGTTAATTCTGCAGAACCTCTTCTCTAGTGTACTGGCTATCTGCTGCCTTTAGTCACCTCTGGTGATGTGTCCCTCTTCCCATCCCTTATGGAAAGCTTCAGTTTCCTATTCCATATTCACTTTTACCCAATGTTCTCCTCCCTACTGATTAACATCAAGTTAAAGATATCTGATCCTCCTTTGTCTTCCTGCACCCTCTGAAGAGAAAGTTACCAGTACAGTAGCAGAAATTACACATTGCCTGGAAGGGTCATGTTTGGCAGACATGACTTAAACCTCTCTTAATCATACTAGCATATGCTAGTATACTACCATACTACCAAATATATTTTAACAGTCATTATGAGGTACAATCAATATTGTACCAGCAGACTGTCACCTAGGTAACTTAAATCATTATTCCAGAAACTATATCCCATCAAAACATTTGTAGAGCCAGTTATCCACTTACAGTTCGGTATCTACTGTATTTTTCCCTTTCTAGTCCTTTCTAGTGGTACATAAACTATGGTTTCCACTATGCTTCTTTCAGCGGCTCCTTTCCAATCCCATGTATGCCAACTGGGTCATATTACTAATGTCATTAAAAATTCACAAATGAATCTACATTCAGAAGGCATACTGTCAGGGGCTGAACAATTTATATTGATAAATGTTAATACATGGTACACACAGTGGTAAGCGTTCATCAGAATACAGTGTACACGTAGTCAATATGGAAAGGCACAAAAGGACTGGAATAAAATCTGGGGTGTAATCAGAATTGTGGAGCTGTCTATAAATACCCTTGTTGATAAATTAAACCCATTTCTTTTACCACTGAAAGGCTTACCTGGATAATAGTAATCATAGACTTTCACTATGGCTGCCTTTAAATCCCACACTTCTGTTTCCTGCTCCACAAAGAAGCTATAGCTTTGAACATTATTATCCAGCTGGAATGGAAGAGGAGAAAACAATGCAAAAAGCTATGTTGATCCATTAGGGAATAAAAACAAAATATTAGGGTAATGTTTGTATGAGAACCATTACAAACTAGCAGATAAGCTTTGAGCTCCTCAGAATTCTAATTCTGGTCAAATATTAAGTAAAAACGAGGAAAGGGCGGTCAGTTAAGTACAGCTACTCCCTGGCCCTTTATACAATAGATAATACCCTAGATCCATGCCAGCTTTCCTTCATTCACACATGGGCTACCACCTGAATGAATACTCCAGAATGCTTTCTCCATTTCTCTCTGCATTGTGCCAAACTGAACAGAGATCTTCACAGCTCTCACCTGATCCAGGTAAATGCTTATCTTCCCAGGATCAAACTCCACCTTTTTAACCAATGGTTTCTCTAGCAGCTGTCAGAATGTAGAAAAGAAAAAAAAAAACATTGCTGTTAATCAACACTGGGATAGCCTTAGTTCAGGCTATGCAATATTTTCAGGCCCAGAAACAATTCTGGTTTTTGAGTGGGCATCCTCCAACAAGTGGGCAGGACCAGGGCAAAGAAATGGTCAGGTCAAGACAAAACTAAGAGTGATTTGATTCAGTTAATATCATTATCCCTTGAATTAATTTTGCCTTCTGTAACATTAGAAATCGCAGTCCATCAACAACTTTTGAAGGGAACTCTTAGGGACACAACACACCTGAAACTTTGCTTCTGAGCCTCAGCTTCTGCACCCCTGTTAATCTAACCATCATTAACTGGGGGGATTTACTGCCTGCTGAAAACTGACAATGCAGAAGCAATTTCTGTAAATAGAGTTGCACTTTACAATCATTCTAAAGAAAATTAATAAATCATTAGTATTTCAAGAAACAAAGGTTTAATTATATTGTATTGCATAATGGCAAAGGAGAAAAGAAGCCTAGGGATGAATGAGCAGGACCTGGCTGGGGCTGCTGACAACTATACTTCAGCAGCATCTCAGAGCCAGAGACTGCCCATCCCTGTTCCAACAAGATGAAAAGGAAAGGTCTGCATTCCAGCAGGTATTGACAGGCGATCGATTAATTCTGTAATGGCAGCTTTCATTGTGACACATTTCTGACAGCTAAAGTTATTTTAGAATAGTTTGGTTTTAGCTCTCATGGCTGTTTAAAGGTTCTTTTGTCACTGATTTTGCAGGTATCTTAAATCCATCTTCAGAACTCTAGATAACAACGCAATGAGGTGAAATTTTCAAATGAAAGTTTGAAAAACAATCCAAAATATTTTACCTCCTGTACAGATGTCTTTACAGGAATATACCCAGATATCATATTCACCTCCAACAGAACCATGTTGCTTGCTTCTCGCTGGCCTGTGTAACTGAAGAGGAAAAGGAAGGAAGTTTAAAGAACTGTCAGTATACTGAAGGGTTCAATCAGAGGTATCCCATTAGCTTCATTCATTCTTGCTAACTGTTTAGAGAGGAAACTTCCTCACAATGGAGCCTCTCCATCTTGGTGCCAGCCTGCTGCTGAGTTCAAAATAATGTTTTCCATCAGGAAAGGCAATATGAGAGCCTCCTATGAGAAGATTCTGACTCACATGGAGAAAGAGCCGGAGGGCTACATTGTGAAGAAATCAGAACTTTTTCTCTTGGGGCTTAGATTCATGGCATATTGATTTTGTATATGATAACTGCAGCAAGATTATTGTATACTCAAAAATGGAAGAATAATGAAACTCCCACAGTGGAGGAATGGACTGTGAAAATGTCAGAGTTTGACAAGATGACTTGTCTGATTTAAGAAAAAACTATTATTGTATACTCAAAAATGGAAGAATAATGAAACTCCCACAGTGGAGGAATGGACTGTGAAAATGTCAGAGTTTGACAAGATGACTTGTCTGATTTAAGAAAAAACTATTATTGTATACTCAAAAATGGAAGAATAATGAAACTCCCACAGTGGAGGAATGGACTGTGAAAATGTCAGAGTTTGACAAGATGACTCGTCTGATTTAAGAAAAAACTACAAAGACTTTTTGAAAGACTGAAAATCTTATATGGACTTTATGCTGAAACAAGAAAAA